AAGAAAAAGTCTATGTTTCCTCAATTCTCACCCATGCAAACGCATAAAAAATCATTAGGTTACCACGAATACGGCTACAGTTACACAACAAGTGTTGGGAAGTTTTGTAATGATGTGACTAAAATTAAGTTCTAAGGTGTAAGCCATAAAAAAAATCTAAACTCTGTCGTAGTCACATTTTAGAGTGAGTTTTGGTTCAGGAAGAACTAATGACCATCATTCAGTAGATTTTACCACAATAGTGGGTAGATTTTGGTCACTTGCTAAACAACGAATTGAAAGTGTCACAAATTTCATTCGCAAACAAAATAACTGTCCACTGACGCAGATACTGATAAGGTATTCGACTTTTTTGTTGGTAGATAATTATTTTCGTCTGTTTTATAACAGTAACTTTTATCGGTTGGTTCTAATTAGATACTGGGTTCGTGCTCAATGTTACATTTACGGCTTGATGGAAACAAAGCAGACTGCAAAATGCGTGTTTTGATGTTCCGGAGTTCCATAGTGTCTAAGTTGGAAACAACTTGACAATCGAGTGAAAAGTTTTGTTTTGGTGTCCTGTTTGTTGATTTTTGTGCAGTGAAAGGGAAAGAAACGACAAATATCTTGAGATCTGTAGCCCAATACCTTTAAAATATGCGCCAACAAAGGAGACCCTGTTAGGGGTAAATTTTGACGAGCCACACAGCCTTGAAATGGCGACATGAGAACTATGAATTGGCGACGAACGACAGACTACCCCAGCGAAATAGGGAAAGCGACACCAATGGCAAGATAGATCGACAATGAATTTCGGAACTGAAAATGCAGTGATTGCTTTAAACGTATGAGTCGAAGTGAAGACGCATTTCCAGAGTTTTAAATGTGTTTTCCTCTCTCACGCACCATGTCAAAGGGTTGTGAAACCCAGGCTTTCTTATATATGCTAAAACGTCCAACGTTGAATAAATCGAGTCCATCATTGCTGAGTATTTTTTCTCATTCTCAGCTGAGTGAGCAGTGCCCTAAAATGCCTAAAAACATGCTTAAGGAAAAAGGAAAGAAATCTTCGACCGTCTGCTTCATATTTTTATTAGTGGGTTACCAGTAAAAGAATATCAAGCTGTCTTATCAACAAATGGCATTATGGAAGGAAAAGAGAGACAGGGGAAAGCTGCCAAGATCTTCTTGTCTTCAGCAAAAGATAAGGGTTATGTCAAATTCAAAGGAAGATTATAGATAGGAGATGTTATCTGATTGAGGCCGTTGAGATTTTGAGTTAAAGAACGGTTATTAAACATAAACATGGTAAAAATAGTCATAGGTTCGATTGTACTTTAGGTCCAAATACTGATTGGAAAATGACTGAAAATACATGTAGCAATTCCAAGCGTCTAAATCTCAAAATTTCCCAGGGGGAGCATGCCCCCACATCCCCTAGGAGGTTAGCAACTTCAGCGCTCGAAAGCATGCCCAAGCCCTTAGAAAGCATGCCCCCAATATGCCCCCCTCCCCATCATGCCCCCAGCCCCTTAGAAAATTTTGAAAAATTGAAGTAGCTAAGAAGTGTTTTCCTTCATGCTGAGTCGAAATGTGATGCTTTATAAGTAACCATAAAGTAATCATTAAACCCACTGACCGGAGAAATGCTGGCTCTGCATAAGAATTCCTACTACTGAAAAGTGTTCAAAGCAAGTGCAAAGCGTACAAGGAGTAAATTATATACCAAGAGATACTTAATGATATATGTACTTGACTAAAAAGCAAGGAACCTTCAATACGTGAGAAATAATAGTTTCAGCATGAGAGCGCAAGATTGAATTCAACTGCGTGAGCCTCATGCTCAATTCGTGAGACTTGACAGCACCGTGTCAGTTTTTTTTTTTTTTGGATAAAAAAGGCATTACGATGTGTTATATGTGTAGCTTCGTTTTAATTGAACAAGGTCAAATTTCCCAACACAGCTCCTCTGAGACGAAATTCCGACAGGTGACATAGGAATCTTGCGAAATGCCGACATGGCTGGTGGCGAATTTCAGACCGAGGACATGGGTACCCCTCCTAACAGGGCCTCACAAAGAGAGGCATTCTGTGACAAAAGTATGACAGTTATGCAAATCTAAAGAATCACGAAAAGCCGAATCTGATCGGATTCCCTTTTCCATACGGAAAACCTCTGCTGTTCAAAAGGCTGAATAGTTTTGAATTCTGAATTGAAAACCTCTGCCATCCTAACAGATGAAATTTTTTTTTCGAACGGATAGCAGCAGTTGTTCCAACGGCTGAACATTTTTCTGAACGGATAACCCCAGCCATTCAAATGGCATTCCTATCGACCTCAAGGAACGCATGACAAACACCAACGAACGATTTTTAGCTGTTCGAACAGAGACCCGTTGGTGTATGTTTTCATGTGAGAGGTCATAATAAAAAATATATTTAAAATCTAAAATTTACAGTTGAGAATTTGATTGTTTATTCAAGAATGAACAACGTGACCGTCTCAACATGACGTGACCAGTCAACATGACCGGGGAGTGAAGTTTTTGGCTGGTCAAGTCACCATTCTGGTCGGACATTGTCCATTGAACGGCCGTTATTTTGAGCCCTGAAGTAAAGTAGACATGGCTACCTTTAAGAACAAACAGATCATTCAAATAAACTGGGTCACTTGTCGATTCATCATGTTGTCCGCCAAATCCACTACCACTGCTACCACCAAAGATGTAAACTTTCTTGTCCACAACAGCTGCTGCATGTCCCTGCCTGAAAAAAAATGTTTAATATTGTTCAGTTGAATTGATACTCCACAATAATTTGTACCCTATAATTTCATTATAATGAAGATCAGGCACATAATGCGAACTAAGAAATAAACACAGAAACAAGAATTTAAACACAAAGCTTGCATAGTTGTATACAGAGGAAAAGAAATAATTCAAATGACACACTAAGCCCCCTGCCCATCACAAGGTGCCCATATCTTGGGTACTTAATGTACAAGGCTGTGGGGGTGAGGGGGGTACTCTCTTATATGGGCTAGGTACAGGGCTAGGTACAGTTGTATGTGTGCCCCTAAAGGGTATATGGTTTCTGAGTGATTTCGATCCAAAACAGGGTAAAAATTGTGACCATTTTGGTCTGAAATAGGGTCTTCTTTCATTCTGCCTTGGCATAGTAGCCCTTCTCATTTTCATGTTTACGTAAATGGAAACCATTTCTGGTTAGCTGCAGTCATATATATTAGCTGTGTACTAATTTTAGAGGTCTAAAGTTGAGTATCGAGTTTCGGCTCAGGTCTAAAAATACATTTGTAGGGTATGCAGGGTATGGAAAATCAGAGATTTTCGTCTGAAATAGGGTACAGGTAAGATTCGAGTCTGATGACAAATTTTACTTTTACTTTTATCAAGGTGTGAAAATCCGACTGAGCTAAATATTTACTTTTGTTTTAAGTTCACAGTAACACAGTGTATGACACTTCTAACAACATTGAATGTTGCAGAAAAATGCAGCACTTATTCCAGAGTAGCACTCTTAACTAGTCTAAATAGTTTTGCTCTCATAAATGGTGGCTACAGTGATAGTTATATCCCTTTGCAGGACCCCCCACCCCTTGTACGTAGATTTAGATGTCACACTTCCGTTATAAATCGCTAAAATCATGAAAATTAATTTGACACACCAAACTAATTTATCGATTTTCCACAACTTCTGTTACCAATCGGTAAAAAATCATTTGATCACAACCGATTTTTATCGACTGACCACTCTGGGATAAACATCTGCAGTGTCTACAAAAAAATAATGATCAAATTTTACTGTACCTTGGAGCAGGAGCGGGTCCGTTTATTCCTCTTGTGGCCCAAGTGCAAGTAGAAGAAGACATAGCCGTGCTCAATACCTCCAAATTACGATATCAATTCATGATAACTTCTATGTTATGGTTTTTCATTGCTGCTCAGGAAACAGACGAACGCAAAGGATGCTGGTTAGACTGAGCCTATGATAACGGCAAACAGCGGATTTCCTTGAAATGTCTGCGCGACGCTGTGGCCTGATTTGCATTTGCAGCTGGACATGTACAAAAAGACAGAGAATATATATCAACCTTTGTTTGCAATATATTTTTTTGTTAGAACAATCAATTTGTCCTAAATGTGTCCTAGATGCATAAGGTAATAATTGGAAAGAAGCGTCTTAAGAGATTGGTTTCTCTTCCAACAACAGGGACCAGAAAATGGCGATCGAAAGATTCAAGAGAAGGAGCAGGCTCGGTGAGTTTTAGTGGAAAAAATTTTGTTGACTCAGCTACCGCGATATCTCGATTATCAACACGTCTTGTTTTACGTATACTATACCAAATCCTCTCTGTAAACAGGCTGATAACCTTCCTTCACATCAAGGCTTTTCTTGGATTTCGCTGAGTGTCAAAAAGTATCTTTGACACCAGGTTCAGAAGTCGCGCGACGTAAATATGTTTGCGTGTAGCGTGAAATTATTCCTTTCTACTGTAGGTTGGACAAAAGAAATAACTACTTTAACTGGTGTTAAAGGTCTTTCTTTCTAACAGTGACGTAAAATGTCGTGCTAGTAAATTACATAAGCGGCACTCTTTCAATGTTGATACAGAAACCTTTATCTTGTATATAGCTCGCGCTCGCGAGAAAAAGCGCAGTTGCCTTTGATTACGACGTTGATGATTTGTAGTGATTTGTAGGCTTTGGTCAAGTTTTTCTCTTTTGCCAGGGAACGCAACTAAAATAAGAAGCTAAGAGAATTCCTATTAATCTTATGATCATGTTGTCCGGTGTCCTTCTTGGTTATTTTAAACCATATTTAAACTAAAATTTATCGATTCTGTTCATAAATTTTCTGTTTCTTATAAATAATGCATTAGCGCAGGCCCAGTTGTTCCATACAATGCAATATCATGTTGTTGTTCTAGATCTGTCTACTCGAAACTACTTTTTGACATAGTTTGTAAATACTCAAATGACTGTTTACATTTAGAATCCATTTTATTCATTCCAAAGTAACTTAGAAAAGGGCCATGGTTCGTACAATCTTGAAAAGGTCTTGAATTTTAGTAGCCGTCTTGAAAAGTCCTTGAATTTGGTTAAGTCCTTGAAAAGTACTTGATTTCTTTATTAGGTCTTGAAAAGTCCTTGAAATTTAGTTATTTGTTTATGCCATCACTTTTCTGAAAAAGTTAAATGATTTTGCTTAGAAAATTTTCTCCATTGACTGCTAATATCTAATATTTTCATGTCATAGCGACGGAAATACATGCAGGAAAATTAATGGTCGGTGTAACACATGAGCATGTACATGAAGCGAAATTTCATCTTTACCTCAATTTCATGCGCGTTGAACCAGGCCTCTAAATGTGGGGTTGTCTGCCACATGCGTTTGTTTTCAGGGCTACGTGATCAATGGTGTATAGTTTAGGGAAAATTTTTTGCTTTCCCTTTGTTTGCAATTTAAATGAGCGATGGGCAAATGTGTATTCAATCGTAAATGGTTAAGTGATGCGAAGTTTAGCTGGGTAAAACAATTTAAAGGCGACAAACGCAAGGCCATGTGTTGTGTCTGTAACAAAGTGATCGACATTGAACGCACGGGAGAAAGTGCCTTGAAGTCTCATATGAAAGGCGAGAAACACAAAAGGAACGCTGGTGCAACTTCAAGTTCCACTCAGTGTGTGCTAATGGCTACATTTTCACGTAAAGGAGCTAGTTCAAGTTGTGATCAAAGTTCGGAATCTGGCCCTAGTTGTGCGGAAGCGAATAACGACAAATTTTTTGTTCATCCGCCACCACCAGCAGCAGATGGTCAGTCAACAGTCAAGTTTACTGACGGAGGACGTGGCACATTGGCGAACTTTGTTGGAAAAAAGGACATGCTCACTGCTGAAATTCTGTGGACACTGCAAACGATATCTGCTCACTATTCGTACAAGTCAAACGAGAAAGTGGGGAAAATTTTTCAAGCCATGTTTGGTGGAGTTCTCAATGTGCCAATTACAAAGAAACTCCTTGCTGCAGCAGCTTCATCACGACAGAAATATGAGAAGCATCTACAGGACCAAAGGGACAAAAAGAAGACAGATGAAGAACAGAGAAAGAGAAGACACATCCTGGATGAGATTGAGGAGTTCAAGGAGAAGAAGAAAAGGATGAAACTGGATATAGACTCCTGGTAAAGTCAGCAGATGATTTCAGTGTCAAAGCTGAAGAAACTGGGCACATGACTCTTGTCACTAAGTCCAATGCTTTTAGAAAGGCAGCCAAAGATAAGACTCTTCAACTGCAAGATGTTGAGGACAAACTAAATGGAAAGTTGAAAGCTCTAAAACGCTGCTGAAACATTTTGGTATCATTTTCGTTGAACTAAAATTATTGTATTTCTGTATTTCAAATTATTTCCATACCTCACTTTCCAAAATGTCGTTTCAGAGACTAATGTCATCAACCATGGCTGAACTATTTACATACCATAAATAGGTTATGACTGAATTGAGTGTTTCAAGTGCTAAAAGGGGTACCAAGAATGTTGATTTAGTGAATAAAACTGAGTCCTTGAAAACTAGCTTTTGTCCTTGAAAAGTCCTTGAATTTTGTTTGTTTGAAGTTGTACGAACCATGGAAAAGGACGCTAAAAAATAATTAAAATATATAATAATTTCCTGTACTCAGAGCGTGATAAGAATCTTTTTAAAAGTGGAATTTTTTCGTTCAGCTCAACCAAACTTCATCAGTGGCTGATGAAGTTGAAAGACTTTTATTGCATTCTGAGTACAGGAAATTTTTTTATATTTTAATCATGATTCCAGAGGAGAAACCCAGTATTTTTTATTGTAAAAAACAATTGTAAATATCCCATTACATTTAAATAAATTAAAAATATCCAATTACATTTTTTTTGTTGTTGTTGTTGTTAGCTTGGTGTGCATGCATTTGTACAGTAGGTCTCTGTGAATGTTAATTGTTTTAAATTGCTGTCTTTCTCCAGTTAACACACCGTAAAGTTTTGAATGTACAACCTCCCAAAACACTGTAACACTAATCAAAAGCAGTGATTTAAAATTTCACATCTCTTAGCAAATCCTAGCAGTATCAACCCTCCAAATTACATGTTGTTACCTCAAACATAACTTGAGTTGTTATAAGAAGCTGTGGAAATAGCACTACTTTGGAATAACTACATGTACCAGAAACTCAGACCATCTTCATTGATCTTGTTATAGAGGCAATACCTTACTCCATTTTGTTAGATAATTTTTTTTTCAACTCGATTATCCTTAAATTCATGGTCTGTTCATTGAAAGAAAATTAATTCATTCAGATGGGTCAGCCTGCATGTAATACCCCTTTTGTTTCCAGAAAGTATTGTTTGTTGTTGTCCTCAGAAAGTTGCGACCCTCCGGGAGTAGTGATAAAAAAGGCTAGAACTATGGTAACAACTCGCACATCTAAAGTAGCAAGGTCTATCGCTTTTGGAACTTTGCAGTTTGTTACCCTTTAATTTCCTATAAAATAGTTACAAATATTTTTAAAATATTAACAAGTTATCAATTGTATCTTTCAGGGATTTGGAAAACCAAACGTATATCATGCCACAGTGGTGATCTTTCTAGAGTTTTTTGCTTGGGGTCTTCTCACATCACCAATGTTGACAGTAAGTTGTTACACTATGCAAAAACATCCTTAAGAATTGGATCAGGAACAAAGCTACAGTTAGTTTCCATGTTATTTGGCTGGAGTTGTAAGTCTGCATCACTGCCAGGGCTCACCAACCCCTTGCTGTGATCAGTGTGCGTGTACATTTTGCATAGACTAAGGCATCTTCAGTCTTTTGTAGCTATTAATAAGTTAACTGAACGTAAACATGTAGTCAGCCTCCCTCAGTATGGAATTTGGGACAGAGAAAGTAATGATAGGCAGGGATCCACATTCGCAGTCGTCTGGTCGTCCGTGACCACTAAAATATTACAGGGATGACCAAAACAATACGAAAACATATCCACTGGATGAGTTGAGTTTGACTCTATGTACCAGAAAAGAAAAAAAAAAAACATTTGTTAAATGTTCTTATGAGTTCCCTGCATTCTGATCACTTGTCTTCCGTTTAGAACTTGAGAAAACAGAGAGATAATGGAGTTTTCTTTTGCGATAAAATCATCATTTTGTTCTGCCATTATCTGTACTGCATCTGCCTCCGCGAAAATGCATCCACCAACAGCCAGAACTACAGATATGATGTACTGCAGATTGTGTACTGGAAGACTTTTCACATGAAAATAATAATAAAAAGCAAACTTTCCATTTACATGCTGTTCTGTTGCCATTCTTCCCTATTGAACGAGCAAGTAAAATTTTACCAGGGCAAGTATGTCATCTGGCATACTTGCCTGGCTGACAACTTGGAGAAAAAACCAATATGGATCCCTGTATGGGTGCTTCCTTTTTGCTTTGTCCTTGGCAACAACTGTAGCAGTGTACTAGGATATGGAGCCCATCTCCTGTCATATTTCAAAATGATTTACGCTCTGAGATCAGATGATTTGTTACACTATATCGCAAGTCAAGATTTCTATAATTATACAAAGTTAAATAATTATATGTATCTGGACATCCCTGTCCATGGATATTTTCCCATATTTTCCCTAACTGAGTGCTTGTTCTTCTCTCATTAGGTGTTACATAACACATTCCAAGAGCACACTTTTCTAATGAATGGATTAATTCAAGGGGTTAAGGTGAGACGTCATCATCGTGTTGTAAACAAGTACAATCTACCTGTACATGTACATTGCATTTTCCACACCACCTAAATTTGACATGTCATATTGAGTACCAAATGTTATGGCCTTGAAAGGCTATGGAACTGCATGAGTTCATTTCTTTTAGTTTTAGACTTTAAAAGCATTGAAGATTATACCCGTGGATACTGTGTACACATGTACATCATAGTAGAAACAGGACCTTGAATTTAGTCAAACATAATAGGATCTCAAGTGGGGTTCTTTGAATTTTCTGCCCTGACCAATTTAAAGGGTATTAGTTTTTCATACAAATGCTTTTTAAAATATTATTTATTGTTTAATGTTTTCTTTCGAATATAATTATTTAAAACTTTATTTTGCAGGGAATCTTGTCTTTTCTTTGTGCGCCATTAATTGGAGCTTTGTCTGATGTCTGGGGACGTAAATCCTTTCTCCTTGTAACTGTCTTCTTCACCTGCATTCCTATTCCACTTCTTAGATTTAATCCATGGTAAGTCTTCTGCCAATATAAAAGTTTTAGTTGTACAATAAGTAATGTAGTCAAGGCTGTGCTCTATAAGCACCCAGGTGCCATACAGGCTGTAGGTGACTAACTTTGCCTTTGGGCAACTGGAAAAACTTAATTTTTTCATACAAGCTTAACCGCTGGGCACCCAGGATTTCATCATTAGGAACCTTTGGTTCCTCATAATTTTCTCAGACCAAAGCCTTGGTATTGAGAACATCTTTTACTCAAACATAAACTATGTCCTTTAAGTGCAACCCATCAGAATGTAGCCCTATAATTATTGCATCTAAAGAACTGTAAAATTTGGCTGTATGCAAATTATATGAGTTTCTAGAATAGCTACAGTTGTAAGTACTTAAAGAGAATGACTTTTGTGTTATTTGTAGGTGGTTCTTTGCCATGATCTCAGTTTCTGGAATGTTTGCAGTCACCTTTTCTATAGCTTTTGCATATGTAGCTGATTGTACAGAAGAAAGTGAAAGAAGTACAGCTTATGGCCTGGTAAGATTTGCTTTACATGTATCTTGATCTGTATTGTTTTCGCACATTACAGAAGGCTGTGAAATAACATGAATTGCTGGCCCATCCAGGAAATAATTATATCATTAAGAAGCAAAGTGAAGTACAGTAAGTTTACATTCTGTGGTGTCGAGTGTCTTCTCTGACCTATAGGCAAAGAAATCAGCAAAACTCTGGACTTATTCTTTTGGCTTTTAGAAACAAATTTCATACGTTTAAATTGAAGTGTAAAGACTGCCTTACTCAGTGTGATTAGTACAACTTTTAACTCGAAAAATCCTAAGTAGTGTCAAATGACAGAGAAGGTCATTTGTGATCAATCATCGTCATAATTATTATGTTTTGTTTTATATTATTTTTCCATTAGGTTTCTGCCACATTTGCAGCAAGTCTTATCATCAGTCCCGCTCTGGGAGCTTATCTTGGCAACATATATGACGACAGTGCAGTTGTGGCACTTGCTACATTTGTGGCTGCATCTGACCTGTTATTTATTTTAATTGCTGTTCCTGAGTCTCTTCCTGAACGGATCCGGCCAGCATCTTGGGGAGCACCCATCTCCTGGGAGCAGGCTGATCCTTTTGCTGTGAGTACAAACTTGTAGTATTGTTGTAAGTAATACATCAAACACAAGTGACAGTGTTTCATAGGGATATCCAAACACCGAGAAGAGAGTTGAAAACACGATGCACTGCGTAGTATTTTCAATGTGTTCAGATAGCTGATGAAACGCTGTCTTGAGTGTTTGACATAAATTATCTTCTCACTCGAAACAAAAACTAAAGAGTAAACTGGGAAATAAAATTGTCAAAATCTATGTTAATTAAGACCGGGTATCTCCTTTACAGTTGTGATTTTCTTTGTTTTAACTTGATGAATTATTAATGAGTTTCAGAAGTAATAATAAAGTGTTGGTTTTGTGGAGGGAGGAAAACCAGAGAACACGGAGAATGGCCCTTTGAGAACCAACAACAAGCTTGACCCACATATGAATTCCTGGCCCCTGTAAGAACCTGTGGTGAACAAATGATATTTTTTTTAGTATTGGGGAGCAGTAATGGTGCTTGCCTTCCAACAGTGTGGCCCAGGTTCGAATTCTGTGCCCTGGGTTGTAATTGGGTTGAATTTGTTGTTGGTTTTCATCCTTGTTCTGAGGGTTTTTCTAAAGGTTCTCCAGTTTTCCTCCCTCCAAATTCTGTCAATTCCAATTTAATCTGGAAACAGTGGAAGAAGAGTCTCTCTGAGGGATGTGCCACTGCAAATTCCCATTTGGTTAATATTAATTACAATATTATCATTTATTATACCCTTTAATTTATCTAAATATTTAGCTCTTATTAACCGAGCAGGAGGTCTGTATGGGAGAATCTTGACCGAGGTCATGAGAACAGACCGAACGCAGTGAGGTCTGTACACACAACTGAGGTCAAGATTCTCCCATACAGACCGACTTAGCTCAGTTAATAAGATCTTTATTATATGGCAAAGAAGAAAACTTTAATTCGTTTAATGTAACTGGTTTGTACTAGCTGACACTTTGCTTGCGAACAGCGATGAGCTTACTTAAACCTGCCAAAATTTGCTCGTCTTCTCTACTTTTTTTTTGTCATCAGGCTTTTTGGCACTTCCATAAATGATTGAGAAGAAAATAAAAGGAAATGGTGAACATTTTTGTATTTTAGTTTGCTACTTTTTCAACGCAAAATGAAACTGGTCTAGATGCCGGTCTAGATGCCGGTCTAGATGGGAAAATCTAGACGGCAGTCAATATCGATTTCAGCCAATCAAATTCGTGAATTCGGTAGTTCCCAGTCCTTGTGAGACACAGCCATATAATAAAAGGTAGTTATCACATGTGCATGACCAAACATTGCCATGCCTTAGTCTTTTTTTTTTTGTATTTGTTTTTTTTTACTTTGACATTACAAGTGGTGGATTGTTGTGTTTTTGTTCTATTTTCAGTCTTTACGGAAAGTCGGTCAGGATCCTATAGTCCTTCTGATGTGTATTACTGTGTTTTTGTCGTATCTACCTGAAGCTGGCCAGTATTCCTGTATGTTTATATATCTTAAACAAGTAAGTCATTCAAATTCATTTGATTATTGGCATGCTTTACCAACAACTCCTGATCAGTTTTTTTCCTGCATACTCAGTGATCAACTAGTTCTGATGGCAAGTCCACTGAACATTTTTTTATCTTTTCTGTTCCAGGTTATACATTTTACTGCTGAAGATGTAGCAACATTCATAGCAGTGTTAGGTGTTCTGTCAGTTATATCTCAGGTAAATATACTAATAAAAAAACTTTACAGTTATAATTACTTGTGACCTGCATGATTGTATAAATTTACATTGTATCAAAGGCAATATACTTAACAGGATTCACATGCAATTCTTGTATATATTTTAAGCTTAAAATTTTCTTAACCAGTTGGGTTTTTAGTTTTTGTTGTCTTGTATTCATTATTATATCCTGAGAGGAAGGAAAATACAAATGCTATAGGTTTGAAGAGTGATTTTCAACAGAAAATAATGGAAACCACAATGTTGTTTTCTAATACCAACATAGGAAATACTTTTTGTGTGATATGGGTTTGAAACTCAAAATTTTACAAAGAATGTATGGGCTTTTTAGAGCTTTTCACCCAGTTATGTTGTAATTTTTACAAGGCAAAACCCCTTCAATATTACACGTGATTACGCCCAAATAGCTTTAAACTGATTACATGTTCTTCTTCATTTCAGACTGTTGTTCTCACATGTCTCAAGAAAACTATAGGATTGAAGAACTGTGTGTTAATAGGTTTAATATTTGAAATTCTTCAGTTATCTTGGTATGGTCTGGGAACACAGTTTTGGTAAGTTGACATTGTTCACTGTTAGTGCTGTGTGCTGAACACAAAAGCCTCGCCATCAAATCATCCTACTTATGAAAGCCATATAGGCTGTGTTAGGTTCACAAGGTATTGTGGTAAAATGTACATCTGCCATCTTTTTTCCTATGGTGGATTATAGCATGTTATTACACTCTTAATGCAATGGAATCCCAATTTGTCAAACTCTCTATTTTTGTACTCACTTACTTAGCATCTTCATCCTGGCTGGGACATACACGTCAGGTTGCAGTCATACCCCACATCTGAACCCTGTCCCGTGTTTTAGCCTGTGCTTGCCCAACAAGAGACCCATTTCTTCCAGCTCCTTCACCATCGTCCTCTGCCAGGTGGTTTTTGGCCTGCCTCTCGATTGTTCATGCCTCCTGATAAACCAAACAAAAAGTAGTTTTCCTTTGATTTGCTTTATTTTAAATATGTAATCTCAAAGTCCCAATTTGTCTTGATCAAGCAAAGTTTTATTTCCCACGTGTGTTGTATTTTCAGGATGATGTGGGCTGCTGGTTCTCTAGCTTCAGTATCCATGATCACATATCCTTCTATGAGTGCCTTGGTGTCTTGTAATGCTGAGGCAGACCAACAAGGTTCATAATTTGTTTAC